TGAACTGCACAGCCCAAATGGGGTTCTTGTCCCTGGAGCCTGGGCTTTGTGGGTACCCCTGCTCCCCAGCACCGAGGCAAGCCTGAAACCCACGGGGAATTGGTTCCTCTGAGCCAACTGCAAATTGGCTTCCATAGTTTCATTAGGGTCTGGAAGGGACCTTTACAGGTCATCAGGTCCAGCCCCTTCCCTGCACTTGGGCAGGAAAGGCTCCTGGGATCAGGCGACCCCAGGAAGATGGGGCTTTGACCGTGCCCCAGCCCCTCACTTCTCTGTCTTGCCTTGAAATCCAAGGACTTTCTGCCACGGCGGCAGTGGGATCTGAAGGGATTCTGTTACGAGAAGGCTTTGTTGCATTGCAACAACCAGCGACTGTCCCATAGCAGGAACAAAATGGGTGGATTAACAGTTCAGGGCTCCTAGTTTCTATTCCTGACTCACTCCCTGACTTTCTAGCTAAGGCAGTTATTTATCTAGCTCCATCCCCATGGCATCTGAGCAGTCCTCACTGGGGGACAGGTCATGGAAGCTGTGGGCACAGCCAGAGCCCCCTTGGACAGGGCTGGGCTTGTCTAACACCTCTCCCAAGTATCGATGGCACTAGGCAAACCTCACCTCTTCCAGATACCAGGTTATAGCTCCCCTGCCTCCTTTAAGAGGTGTTTAAAAGATAATTAAGCTCCTTTTATGAAACAATAGCAGCTTTCACCCAAAATGTTGGCAGGTGCCACTGCCCAAAACAAAGGCTCAGGAATTTGAGCAACAAGAGGGGTAGGAATGTGCTGGCTTATTATATTTAAAGTGGCATGTGTGTGTGGGCTACCAGCAAAGTAACACTCACACACACACACAGGCTGATGGGTGTTGCATGTACGTGCAGGCCTGCACACCGGTCTGTGCACTGAGAAAGGCAAAGTTCTGTTTTTATTTATAGCACCTGATCCTTATCTGCGTCATAAAGCTCACCTGGGCTGGGCGATTCCCTCTCCTGTGGGGTGATAGTACAGGCAGCTCTGTAGCAAGAGGCACCGCGTGAGCACAGTCTCCCCAGGGCCTTTGCTGATGAGCAGGGTGTCATGTGGGATCCTCTTACAGCTCTCCCAGCAGTCCAGCCACTGGCATTGCCTTTGCCCAAGTGCATCACTGCAAATCAGATCGGACCCCAGCCCCTTCCTATCCAGAGGTCTCCCCCACACTTCACCTCTCCCTGCAGTGCCTTCTTACCATCTTAACTAGGGGCACCTGCAGCTTGGTCCAGCCCCCCCTTACAAAGCCACGAGCCTCTGAGCACAGCTCATCACGGCCAGTCATCCAGCCCAGCCACTTCCCAAAAGCTGCAACGTGGGAAACCACTAGTTCATTGAGTCCATCTGCCTGCCGCACTGCTCCTCCAAGGCAGATGAATCTGGGGCTCCCCTGACGTTGGCAGCACGGTTGCACAATGCGTCTGACGTCAAGGCCGAGCCTATGAACATGGGACGCCTCCCTTACCCGAGTCAGTGCCGGGCCTGGGCTGGAGCAGGGATGCTTTGTTCTAGCAGCATGCACTGGAGCACCTGGCTTTGCTCTCCTCTAGTCATGGCAGGTCATCTCTCAAGGCAGACTCGGGCATCCCTGGGCTAGCTCTCTCCTATCCTCTTTATAATCAACCCTAAACTTTTCAGCTGCTATCACTCAACCTTTTAACAGCCCTTGGCAGTGCTGCTCCCTCCCGTGCTGCAGATGAGACTGCACTAAGGACACACAGGGGAGTCTGTGGCAGAGAGGAAATGCTCCCAGTACTGGAAGTGTCCCAGATCAGAAGCCCCCTTTTTTGGCTTCTGTTACAAACATTCCCTGGTGTTTTTGGTGGAAAGAAGTAATCAGATTCCTACCCAGAACCCTCTATGGCAAGCAAGCCAAGGGTAGCCGTGGTGTTTCTGCCTTCTCGGTTCAGGCTCTAAGCTGACAGGCCCTGGTCCTTTTCCCTGGTGCCCCCAGTTCCAGACTCTCAACCTCACTTCCTAGCCCCGGTCAGCTACACCTGAATGTCCGCAGGGCTCAGGCCTCTACTCGTGAAGTGCCATCACCCTGTATGAGTTGGTGTCCCCTAGTTTGAGAACCACTGCTAGGAAGTCTTCCCATGCTGCAGACATGTACAGCACCTGGCGCCGCAGCCCCCTGCTCCCAGCTCCGAGGCCTGTGGGTGCTACTGGAATACATTGACAGACGGAAGCTGGTTGTCCCATGAATACACACCTTGTTGACGGCTGGGATCTCCATCAAGAGGCATTGCTCCCTCGTGACTCATCCGTGTACTCTATGCAGTTCCTTACAAATCTTTCCTTCCTCAGAACTCTGAAATCTAGGGCACAAACACTAATGAACTCACCGGCCCCACCTTGCCCCGTGGGAGCAAATAGTAGCATCCTGAATGCCTAGCCAAGGCACTCACCCAACTTGCCAACCCAACAAGACTCTAGGAACTGCAGCTTGGGTTCCCTGCTCTAACCACTGCCCCTTGCTACCCTTCCGCAGGATGTCCTGGAGCAAACCACACAGCTTATGCCCTGCTCTGCCACTGCCCCAATGAGTGTCCTTGGTCAATTTTTCTTCCCCTCTCCATGCCTTAGTTTCCCCGTTTATAAAGATATCAACTTCCTTTGTAAAGAGCTTTGAGACCTGCCAATTAAAAGTACTGTTATTTTCCAAGCCAGGAACTGAACCCAGGGGTCCTAGACCTCTGCTCTAACCAGGATCCTGGCAAACAGGGGTGAAGGGTGATTTGCATGAACACAAGCGGTTTTGCAGATCTGCAGAGCCTGGCTCTGCCTTCCCCTTGCAGAGCAGTGGCAGGTGTGAGACCCATCTCCCTTGCCTTTTTTGTGAGGGTCCTCGAGTGCTGCCAGACATCAGCAAAGATTTTATGTCATTTTACCACCTGCTCCTATTTAAGGCTGGCTCGGTGGGGGGCACCCAGCCAGCTGGCCTTGGGCACAGGTATTTATACTGATATGTGATCCAGAGGCTTAGGTTGCAGCCACCAGGTTCAGACGAGCAGCAAACCTGCTGTTGCATACAGGAAAAATCCCCCACCCTCTTGCATTGCAGGAGGAGATTTGATCTCCAGCATGGGATCGGCCTCTTCTCCCTGCTGCTCCCAGGGTGATGCCTCAGTGCTGGGGTGTGCTTGGGGGGATAGGAAAGAACTACCCCGGGATTGAGGGCTGGCTCCTCTGCATTAGCAGGTGGAGAAATGCTACCAGAGAACTAGGACTGGTTAGTCTGGAGAAGAGAAGACCAAAAGAGGATTTCATAACAGTCTTCAAATCCCTGAAGGGCAATTATAGAAAGGACAGAGATGGGCTTTGCTCTGTGGCCACAGGGAACAGGCCTAAGAACAAGAGCCCGCAGCAGGGCAAATGTAGGCTGGAGATGAGGAGGTTGGAGATGAGGAGGAATTTTCTGACTCTGAGGGTGGTCGAGCATGGGCACCTAGAGAAGCTGTGGAGTCCCTGGAGAAGTTCAAGAGCGGCTTAGACAGACATTGGGCTGGGCTGGTTTGATCAGTGCTGATGCTGCCTTGAGCAAGGTGCGACCTTGTGAGGTCCCTTCCAGCCTCAGTTTCCTATAATCCTATGATCAATGTGTGTCCCCCCCATCTCCTTGGCTGGATCATTGGATTTGGGCCTTTCACACCATCCTGGACTGAGCAAGGAAGGCTGGTCTGGGGGGGTCTGAAGCTACTGAGATCACTCTCTGCTCTGCTGCTCCTGCATGACCGTAGGCACGTGTCCAGTGGCCCTTAGGCAACCGAGTGCTTTTAAAAAGAGTCCAGAGGAGAGCCACATGCATGATCAGAGGGCAAGAGAACAGGGCTTATGAAGAGAGGCTGCAAGCTATGGGACTCTTCAGCCTGGAGAGGCGCAGGCTCAGGGGCAACTTGGTGGCAGCCTATAAGTACATCAGGGGTGTGCATCAGGATCTGGGTTACCAGAGCACCCCAAGGGATGACAAGATCCAAGGGTCACAAACTCCTGTAAGACTGTTTTAGGCTGGACATAAGGAAAAACTGCTTTACTGTCCAAGCCCCCAAGGCCTCAAATAGACTCCGCCCAGAGGTGGTGCAAGCACCTACTCTAGATACTTTTAAGAAAAATTTGGATGCTTATCTTGCTGGGATCCTTTGACCCTAGCTGACTTCCTGCCCATGGGGCAGGGGGCTGGACCCGATGATCTTACGAGGTCCCTTCCAGCCCTAATGTCTATGAAATCTATGAAAATCCTGCAATGAGCAGTCAGAGCTGCACAGAGATCCAGTCCCCTTTGGCAGCGGGACAGAGGCTCTGCAGACGCTTCCCAACCTTTTGTGATTTACCCCAAGCTTGAACCCTTTATAACCACAAGATCCCCTCACCCAAGCTGCTGCCAAGGGGGGCCCTGAGACTCAGCAGACTCGTTGCACGTACAGAACAGCTACAGGGTATGAGCAGACAGTACATTGAAACCCCAGCCACGTTCTGCCCAGGAAGACCCCTGTGACCCACCCTCAAACCCACCCAGAAGTGCTCCTGGGCCCCTTCAGGGCCACCCGACCATGAACTGCCCTTTCTGCCCATACTTGGCCACATCCCTGAACTCCCCTTTGCCCCAGTTGGCTGTGACACCGGGGACACCTGTCTTGCCTACTCTAGCCTCCATGCAACCAGACTGAGAGCTGGATGCAGTGGGCATGCCAGCTGCGGCTCAGCCCATTCAGCTCTGCTATGCAGGGGTATCAGCTGCCAGCTGGGTGAGCCATTCTCCATGCCCGCAGAACATGCTGTGCAAAGTTCACAGCATCCTCCCTTGCGTCTGCACTGTGGACCATGTCAATGCTCCACCCCAATGCAATTTCTGGCGAAACTTTCCAGTGCCCCCAAAAGGCCAGGGGGAAACTGAGGCACCGAGGTGAAGGGGACACCAAGGTCACATGGACAAGGGGAAATACAATCAGGACCTGGAGCAAACCCCATGGCTTGGAGCTGCTTGTCCTGAATTCAGCTCTAGTTGTTCTGGCTGGCTGAAGCCTTCTAGGAGAGATTTTATTATTATTATTATTATTATTATTATTCCCGTATTTTCTCACATACAACACAGTCTGGAATAAGATACAACCTTGCTTTGGAAAGGCAGCGCGAAGAAAAAAAGATCTTTTCTTGTAGTAATTAACTGAGCCTGCTCACCTCGTTCTGCTTCCTATAGATTATGTGCAAAGTTACTCTGCAGCCTTATAGCAGCAGAAACTGCTGTTACCGTATTTCCTCATTGATAGCGCTCACCTCCATTCCCAGCAGCTGGTTTTTGAGAAAATGGTGCGTGTTGTATGCAAGAAAATGCAGTAGATCTAGTTGAACAAGGGCAGCTGACAGTGTGAGAGCAGCTGTATCAGGTCAGCGGGTCCTCCTAACCACGTCCCACAATGCAGTTCCATAAATTACCCACAAGCCCCTACTCCAAGACACCAAAATGGTTTGCACCATTCACCCTGAGTGCACTGGGGCAGCTGTATGAAAACAGATGCTGCAGAACCAGCTCTGATGTGTAGCCTTCACTGAATTGCTGCAAAGCCAGGGGATGCAACCAAGCTGTTGCTGGCTGTCCACGTCCCTGCAGCTGTTTTGCTGCCCTAGTGTAGGCAGGTCTCCGGAGTCCTGGCTTCCAGATCCTTTTCTGTCCACACAGGGCTGGCTACTTTAGTTTTAAGCTGGGGCTAACACAAATGACAATGTGCAGATTGTGGGATTACTGAGTGATGCCTAGCTAGCATGGCTGGAAATGGGACATCTCCATCACTGCTACGTGCGTAGCCCTTCCTAGAAGTCAGAGTCCTCCAACAATCTCTCGGTGGCTCATGTGCCACAATCCCAACTCAGTTCTCTATCAGGAAAAAAAATCTGCTGCCGAAGATGAGACCTGGACTTTGCAATTAAAATGTCATTAAATTCCAGTGACAGTTCGTGAACCATGATACAGCCGCCCCTTCCCAGATCTCATCTGTCCCTGCAGACCTCAGGAAAGCTGTGACAACATGCTACGGTTGCTACACTACACAGATAGCAGGCTGCAAAAACAGACAAGCTGTTGAGTAAGCAGGTGCTGTTCCCACACAGCCTGCTTTCTGAACATAGCCGCCCTTTCTAACCAACTCCTTATCATAAGAGAGAGCTGAGAATTATATTTTTCCATGCCCAGGGGGAAAAATAAATCAGGCTTTGCCTGAAATCGAACACCATTTTGTTTTCTATGGCCATTTTGATAATTATTTCTGCTTTGCCCAAAAAATACCGCTTTTTGCAGAAAAGTACCATTTCAGTGGAAAACCAGTGACTTGTCATAACAACCTACAAGGTGGAAGCCAAAGGAAGGAAGGAAAACTTGTCTGAGGCTCATTTCAAATACATTTAGACCTGTAAAATTCATGGGGAATAACAAGTTGTGAGTTAAACAAAAGGTGCAACTTATCTGTTGTCTGTTTGTGCAGATCTGTAACTCTGGGCACAGTGCCCGGCCTGATATGGAAGAAAAACACAATGATCTAATACCAGGGGCTAGGACATAAGGGGCAGAAACTGCAGGGTCAGAGTCACAGGCAGTAATGAGTCTTAGCCTGAGGGATGAAACTTGCTGGGGTTGTTCGGGCAGCTGCAGGGTCCCCAGCTGAAGGCAGGTATATGCTGAGAAGTGGCCTTTCAAAGCAGCTGCCAGACAAGGGCAGCTTTGTTCCAGTTCCCTTTCCAGCTATCTGCTCCAGCTGTTGTCCCTTCCTCTACTGCAACTCCACCAACCCTTGCAAAATGCCCAGCAATAGCCTCAGCCTGATGTTACAAGCAGGGAAACTGAGGCAGAGGGAAAAAGGAGGATTTGCAGAGAGGCATGGAGCAGGCGAGTAGAAACAGCAACTCGCGGAGAAGCCTGGAGCCCTGGCTCCTGGTCTTGTGGGCCGATCGCTCGGCCCTATGCAATGAGAATGAAGAGAACCCCCCAGCTGTGCAGTGACAACCAGAAAGGAAGGGGACGTCTTTCCAAACCGGCGAGCACTGATGAGAAAACACTGCTTTTCTTTCTGATGCACTTACCTAATCCCCACAGGCCTGGATCAAACCCAGGCAAAAGCAGCCTTTTGCCCCCTGATCAAAATCACACCTCCCCCAGTGCAGCTTGTAGATGAACTGGGGTGGGGGGACAAAGCCAGGAAGTGACCAACCCCATTCTCTAAGCTCAGAGCAGAGTGAGGTGTAAGGCACTGCCCTGTAGCAGGTAGAAGAGACTTTCCATTAATATCCACCTGGTCTGCACATAGATAGCTTGGGAGGGAAGCTCATTGCAGAAAAGAAAGGTCTCTCGTGGCCCAGGATCCTTACCATGAGCATCTTAGCTTGTAGGATCATAAGCTAGCTGCACCCAACTTCCCAGGGCAGAAGTCTGGGTAATCTACTGCCTAGGGCACAGGCCTGAGAGCCGGATCCTCTCCTGGACCCTTTGGGCAACCTCTTTCTTGGTGCCTCTATTTCCACCATCTCTGTTGAGCTCAATCATGCTGGATCAGTTGGGTACTGAATGCAGCCGACATCCAGACTTTCAGCTCCTACCTCCATCTTCACATCAAATCTTGCCAAATATGCCCAGAGATGAATGCTACCTTCTAAACTGCAGCAGCAAACAACCCCACGGGCATCCAAGTGGCCTACCCGAGGTCACGGACAAGACCGCCAGCTAGGGGATGCCAGGCTTTGCCCTTTCCAGTGGATGGAGTCATTTCACTTGAGCAATGCCGGTTTCAGAAGGGATTGATGCAGATACCCATGGATGCCAAACCCGCAATTGTTCAGCCCTTTAAAGCAAAGACCTCAGATCCCTTTTGGAAAAAGTGCCCCCAAGCACCCAAGGTTCAGCCTCTTGGCTTTGATCCAGCCTTTGCATTCATCCCCTCCTCCGTAAGTCCCTAAGTGTTGAGCCCCTTAGCAACTGCATCAGCAGAAGTGGCATTTAATTCTCACACGGTCAACTTAAAAGCTTCCCCATTTTCTGCCCCTCCCTGACGAGGGGTTCTCAGTGCAAAGAAGCAATGGAGACTCCAGTCATTTGGATTTTCAAGACCTTTATTAAAAATAAAAAAGCCCCATAGGGGCTTATGGGATCTTAGTACAAAATATAAAAACCGTTTCAAACAAATACAAAATAAAAACAGTAGAAAAAAAAATGCAGTACACCCGATTCATGTCTCAGCTTTTGGAGGCAGCAGCTGCGGCATGCCAGAGCTCGGCTCTGCCTAGTAACACTTAGTATATACAGTGCTGGGTTAATACGCAATAAAGAATGAAAAAATCATAAAAGTGCTGGTCTTCCATGTCGGGAGAGGGCAAACTAGCTGGTGGCATTAAAGCCAGCAGCCCCCTCCTCACTTAAAAACCTTCCCAGTCGCTTTTGCTCCGTCATGGCATGCATGGCTGAAGAGTGAGGCTTTTTCTCCCCAGATGCCTCTGGATAACACACAATTTAAAATTATTTGGCACCATTAGATGAAGCTTTGGTCAAAGTGTCTTTTGAGACTTTGTGCTTTGATAGCCAGGAAAGGGAATGCATGACAAGATTCAGTGTCTCAAGGGGTTTAACATTCTTCAGGCTGTACAATGCCATCAAGGAAGCCTCTGTGTCATCTGCAGAGGCTCACAGACCCAAGCAGTGCAGACTGGGATGGTTTTTTTAATACCTTGGCTGTATCCACAGAAAAGGATGGAAAAGTGAAATCTGAGTATATCCCAAGACTGTCATAGTGATTCTTCCCATCAGCATTGTGGAGGTATAGCTTACATTTGTTGAGTAGATTCAGATAATGTAAATAAGATAAAACTTAAAAAAACAACAAACAACCTACCAGTTACAGCACTGGTTTTAACTGATTCGGTTTCAAAATTGAGCACCTGAAAGATGCTTGGACTTTAGTGTCCCATTCGCTTGTTAGAACAAAAAGAAACAAACATGCAGGAAAAAATAAATCTCTTGCCTACTGCATGAAAAAGCAAATACTTTCCCTTTTACAGGGCTGTTGCTTTCTTTCTTGAGACTCTGAAAGGATGTTATCACTCCGGAATCAGAAGTCTTTCCTTCACCAAGTGTTTTTACCAAAGCCCCAAAACTTTGCTGGACAATTTAAGAATTTTAAGCTCTTAGATGTAAGGCACAGGCTTAAGCAAAAGCAACAACCCTGCTGTGTTCATAATCCTACGCAGAGTCCCCACTTACATCTCCAGACACTCGGTGAAACGTGTGTATGAACGTATGACATGTTCAGCCTGTCTTTGCTAGATCAGATTCAAGGCATTGTGATGGTGACCGTTCTGCTACAGGAATGGTTTCTGAGTCTTTAGGAGCTAGAATCCAATAACTTTCTCCCTCAGGTCTCTCTCCTTCATAATGATTCAAATCAAGTCAAGTGCTCATCAAGGAGAAGATACCTTCCCCACATTACATGAGCCCCACCCCCCCAATCACTGCCCCCCTCTACACATCTCTCTCTTTGGAGGTCCTAGAAGACTTTAGGATGAGGGCAAGGCTTGGAGCCCCCTTGGAACTGAACAACGTTTCTCGGCACAGCAGGTAGAAGCAGGACGCCTTTTGCGCTGCATCTCTTGGACGCGTCAAATGCATCCTTCTTGCGATGCTTTTTCTGCATCAGGGCTTTACTACCCACTCTGCTGCAGCTGGGTATAATCAGTGCAGATTAAGAGTTCATGGAAAGTCGGAGAAACAGAGCAACGGCTGTTTCTTCGCTCAGCGCTCACTGCACGTTGTTGTTGACAGTGCAAGGATCCACCTGGAAAAGGAAAGGGAGAAGCAATTTAGACGTCTGCTGAAAAAAGATTCAGGCAAGCCCATTAAACCCAACTGAGACTCACCCCAATGGCAAGAAAGACTAGTTTTCTCTAAGCTTACTTCAAAGCTAAAGCTCTAGATCCCATCAGAGCAGCTTTGGAAGTGGCAGAGAGGCTTATGATTACTCCTGCCTTCCCTACTGCTGACCTGCTCATGGAAGTTATGTAGGAGTCTATCTAAGCTGCCAGGGCATTGGTATGAATTAGAAGCCCACTTCCCCAGCAAGAAAAAAAACCCTAATGCTCCTTTTCTCCATGGTTCTCCCTGCTCAGGTTGCCTTCAGCACCACAAACTCAGCCTCACTCACCTCGGTGTAAGTAGGTGGAGGCATGAACTTGAACTCAGGAGCATACATGAAGATAGGGCTGTCAAAGGAACTGTCCAGATCATCCAGAAGGGGAGTGGTGGGGCTCTCCAGGCGGTGATCTTCAGACACAATGTCTAGGTAGCATGGGGGTGCTGGAAGAGGAGGAGACACTTGGTGAGCTGTGATACAAGTTTCAGCTTTATTCCTACTACAAATAAACCAATCCAAGTTCTCTCCCCACCCCTAGGCCTTGTCCTGAATCCCTGCTATGCAACACCGTAACTGTTCCTACCAGGGTCTTCCTGGAAGGTTGGATCAGCCACCCTCTGCCCTTCTTTGCCAAACAAGAAATGTTCCCCTGAACAGCAGAGCACCCAGCTCACCTTCTGGAGCATCAGGGAGGTTCAGGTCCACCCAGCTCATTTCAGAGCTCGTCTGACTGGCCATGCTGGAACTGCGGCTGCCAATCCCAGATCTGCTGCCAATGACAAGAGGCAGTTCCAGGATGATCTTCTTGGAGCCAGGGACACTCACATAGATCTGCAAAAATGAGATGAAGAGATGGTTAGGAATGACATCACCCTTCCTCTGTTGCATTAAAGTCTGTATAAGATTCCTAATGGAAAGGGAGTGACATGGCTAAACTGTAAATTTAGTGTAATGCCATGTCTATTCCACTGGCTTGTGAGACCACTGCAGGTATCAAAGCCCTGAAAGAAACCCCAAAGAGCAAATCTAAGGGAGGAGAGGGGTCCCTGGCAGGACAACTGCACATGTGATGTTCCCCGATGATGGGCCTGGTGTGGAAGAGAGATCCTTCAGTACCCACGACCCTTACCTGCAGGAAGTACTCCACGCGCAAGATGTTGCAGCCCAGGATAGAGGGTTTGATCTTCCTGACACGGATTGTTTTGCCCCGCCAGGTGTCAGACATGCCCGAGATGATGTGGTTGCCACGCACGCAGGAGAGTTTCTGGACGAAAACTTTGGTCTCGCCATTCGCTAGGTAGGTGTGCTTGGAAACGATGGCTGCCTTGGGTACCACGATGCGGGAGCATGTGTTCTCAAAGTCTGCATTGATGCAGATTTCATCCCCTGAAAGAAGACAGGATTGTTTAGTTACAGGGAAGGTCTTACCCACGGTGGTGATGATTCTCTTACAGCTTATTCATGGCCAAGTCTACACTGGTTAAAGCAGATATGCCCAATCTAATTGGGAAGTTTCTCTGATTCACAGCCCACTTCCCTTGCTCAGTAGTATCACATGGTTCAACGTCATGCCCTTCTCCTCCCCTCTTGCTCAGAGCAATGCTCTTTTCAAGCACTGTCCCATTCAGCCCCCTCATCTACCAGTCCTCCTGGGAAGCCAGGCTCACCTTCGCAGAACCCCTTCCTGTCGATCCTGGCACTGACAGACACGTGGCCATCAGGAAAGAACATGCAGGACACCTTCTTCTCCTTCTTGGCAGAGACGGGAGACTGGAAAAGATTCAGAAGGATTTGGTTACACAAATGAAGACAGTCTGTTGTGTGCGCCCTATTCTATCCTGTTCATATCCTGCCAGACTGCTGCCATATAATTTTGTATTCCACACAGTTTAATTTGCATCTCCAGGTAGATTCCAGTGTCCTGTTTCATGGACACTCACTCAAGAGAAAGGTAACCCATCTCAAACAACTAACCTAGACTTCCATTAGGGCTTTGAGCAATATGGAGCACTCATCTCCTTAGGAGACAATACTTAATCTGCCCTGGAACTGTAAAATTTACATACACAGCAAATATCCCTCTGAACCACCTCTAGCAAACAGCCCCACCATTGCCCCACCAACACCCAAGAATATGACAATTACCAGTAGATCTGGAGTGTTGATGTCAACAGGGTCCATGACCTCAAAATGCTTCTTTGTCTCCTGAGGTGGGACTGATGGGCGCTCCAAGAAAGCCTTCACCCAGTAATCTACACAGCCGTACTTCCCTTTGAAGGTAGTACCAAGGGGTCTGCAAAACAAGAGGAGCTCATTAAAAACACACACACAAATAACAACCGAGGGAATTTTGTCACAAGGCTAGCATTTCTAATGCCGTGTTTGATCAATACCTACCCTTGAGGAAGCTCAAATCCAAACTTGTATTCGTATTTGTTCCCAGGTCTCAAGATCACAGAGCCATCCTCATCTGCAATGGGGGAAAAAAAAAGAGAGGAAGTTAAAAACCTCAAGTTTTGCTGCATGTTCTTAGCTTTGTCACAACATCCTGTCTCAGCTGAAACAACACAAGTGCCAAAGTTTGCTATGCTGGGTATAATCTATGCTGTTACTTAGAAATGTTCTGAAAAACTTCTGCTATATTGCCATTGCAATCTTTTCGTGCTTCTTAATCATCCTCTTAAGTAAGGACTCAGACCTGGCCTCTACATCTTCCCTCCCACCAAATAATCCACTGCAAATCTCTATCTGGGCCAATAAAGAAGTTGGAAAACCATCCAAGGCATTTCACATCATCCCTGGTCTTGTCTGTCACTCTTGCACAGACAACCCTGCCAAGCGGGGTTCTTCCAACCTGCCTCGGGGGCGGGGGTAACTCCCTGTGCCAGAGAGCCAGGAAATCACAGCGCCCGTCACTCCCTGTGCCAAGAGAGGAGAGAAACAAGCGGCTCCCCAGCTGTACCATCTGTCCTGCATACTGTACTCACACACTGTAATTACTTCGCCTCTCCATGCAGCTCAGGAAGCTTGTTCGCAATACGGCCACCCTGCCAATAACGTTCGCTCCCATCCTTTGGGGATGCTGCTACTGCCGCATCAACCTCTTTAAGGTCTTCGCTGCCGGCTGCAATCTCCCAATTGTCACTACACCCCCCGAGTTTTGTTACTCCTCTGTCTCAAACTTTAGACACGCTTCCTACAGCAGACCAATTAAGGCTCTCTGCTAGTTTATCCAGGTCCAAATGAATCATTAAGATACTTCTAGGACCTTTTTGCCAGGACATAACCACAAGACTTCAAAATACTGGAGTAAAAAAGAGCCGTTAGCAGAGCCAAGTGCCAAAAACAACCATAGATAAAGCCCTACTTGGCTGCCGAGTATCCTATCGTGTGAAAACACCCCAGCACCTCCAATATTACTCAATCCAGCCTTTCATTTTTGATCTAACCCTGCTTTAAAAGCATTTTTGGGCAAAAAAGAGGCTTTTTGGGGGGCAGAAGAGCCCTACGATTTAGGTTGTATTATTTAGGTCTCGGGTTCTCACCAGTGGGTTTGTCGTCCAGGGTCAGGACGTCCTCGTAGCGGAGGTACTCCATCTCCTGCTTGCAGTGGTGGGGGCCCTTGGCCCAGTTGACCTTGGCCACGCCACAGGCCAACACCTTCATAGCCGTGACTCGGGTGACGTCGGTCACTTCCACCAGCACACGGCCGGCCACTTTCTCCCCGCTGAAGTAGACCTTGCCGGGCTCGCTGAAAACCATCTCGAAAGTCTTGATCTTCTTGAACATCACCATGGTGGCAGGAAAGTTGGCTTGGTTTAGACAGGAATAGGAGAGGAAGGGGGCTCAGGCTCAAATGGAATGGCCAAAATACAGGAGGAAAAAACCCCAAAAGCCTGGGGTTTGGAATTGAATGGATCAAAAATCGTGCAGAAAAAAACAAAAAATCAATTTTTTTTTAAAATTTCTGGCTGAAAAATTAAGCCCCTTTTTAGTTTTTGGCCTGGGCGCTGGAGGGGAGGGAGCAGGGATGCCGTCTGTGGTATTTTGGCTGCAGCTCAGCAGTAGAGAGCTCCGCTCTGCTCGGAGCCTGCCAGGCTTTGCGCCAAGGCGGGCCGGATGCGGCGCTTTTATACCCTCGGCCTCCCCCCCCCTTCGGTTGTTGATCACCTCCATGCCACGCTGAGGGCGCGTGGAAGCGTGCTGCTCGCGTGATCAGCGCTCCCATTGGCTGCCGCTGCCTTGTTTACGTGCTCGCCGACCAATCGGCGCGCCGGCCGCGGAGCGTGGACAGTGTGTGAAGAGATGCAGGGTTCTGAAGGGGGTGGGGTGATGCGCGGAGTGACGAAGCGGGGGACCAATGAGAGGCGAAGCTGGTAGGCTCTCGGAGCCAATCAGGCTCCTGGGCTGTGAGGGGATTTTTTTTATTTTTTTTTCTTCTGTGACTAGGGAGTGTTACGTCACCGGGGGGCGTTCCTTGCCAGGGGTTCCCCTGTGGGGGCGGCTGCTCCCAGCCCCGACCCCCCCAAATCCTGTACTGATAATAGAGGCAGCCCCAAATCAGGTCTCCTTCCCCCTCACAGCTGCTGTGGGGGGAGCAGTACACCCCCCCTCCCTTATAGCTGCTGTAGGGGAGCAGTACACCCCCCCTCCCTTATAGCTGCTATAGGGGGAGCAGTACAGACCCCCTGCCCCTCAGAGCTGCTATGGGGGTGCAATACGCAGCCCCCCATTCCCCTCAATGGCCCCATGCAGGCCAATAGCTCAGCCCCCTCGGTGCAGGGTCCCCGATAGGGGCGGTTTGACAGCCCCTCAGTGCCATCCCTTCCACCCAGTGCAGGAGGGCGGCCCATCCCCTTACACGCGCTGTGCCGGCTGTCTGAAGCCCCCCATTATCTCTCCACCGTGGCTGTGGGAAGAC